AAAGCTAAAACTCCTCAAATTGGCTGAATTTAGTACACTGTGAATGGTTTCCAAGAAGCTCCAATCAACAATTAATATCTATTTTTTTCTTGTTGCAGATTTGGTCTTTGGCACTTGGCACTGACAAGAAGAGGTGAGGAACTTGATTCTACACTGATGAGAGGGCTGCATGCTTTGAAGGAAGGGCATGATAATGAGACCCTTGCTCCCTATGAAAAATCATCCCTAGCACTTCACTTGCACCCAGCAGTAGATTTCACAGAGACTTGTGAGAGAGAACAGCAACTGTCCTTCCCTGTGCATGGTGTGCTTCAATGTAAATTCAGTTAAAACGGTCTATTGCCTTTTGGAAGTCTCTGAAAGCTTCAGTTTTTAGTGTATTTATCTGCACAGCATCCCCGTCAGGTAGGTGGCATTATGCTTACAGATGAGGAACAGAAGGGCAGAGACCCAGAGCTTCAGAAACATATTTGAGGATTGATTTTTAACAGTTGCGAGGTATTTAAATACTAGGGAAGTTGAATGATGTACCCAGCATCCCACAGGGAACTGGTGAGGTAGAATTGAGCAATTAGGCACCTGAATCCTGGAGTGACCATCTGCATTGGGACAGTCTCCCTCTCTGAACAATTAAAGACACTGAACAGTGTCCTGCTTTTCCGAGGGTCTGCAAGTCGACATCACAATAGAGATGTATTTGCCTGTATCACAGAGTGTGCACCCCTTCCCCTCAGTGTCAATCATCCCCTACCTGAGAGGTCCCCAGCTAATTCCTGAGTCCTGCAGTGGATCCTGTTCTCCTATTGAAATCCCGAGGCAGAGGGGACTAGAAATAGAAGCCCACTGGCTTCAACACTGTAATTGCAATCAAAGCTCAAATGCACTCTGAGTGAAACACAAAAGTTGAGCCGGAGAAATATTTCCTCTGCAGCAGTTGCTATTGTTCTCCCCTTTTATGCTATTCTTTGTATGCCTGCCTGCCGCTCAGAAAACAAATCCTCCTCAGCCCTTCAGATTTAAAGTCTATGTAGGAGAGAATCAGCTTATTAAATGTACTGTACTTACCTATCAGTCACCTACTTATTAATTATAACTAAAAGCATGATTAATCTGTCACAGATAAGGCTGCTAAGTAACCCTAATCATACTAATGTATTTCTGTCACTTATACAAAAGGCAGCATTCTTACTGGTTTTTACATCAGTGTGTACAAAAACCCATGCACAGAGCAGCTGCAAGGTGATGGTAGCATTTCTTTTGCCATGGATAGACTGAGGTTGTATCATACATTTTGCAACTGTCCTCACAGTTGTGTGATGATCTACCAGTAGGGTCTAATGACATTACTTTTGTAAAAAGCAAAAACCATTTTTCCTTCCTAAAATGTATAAGGATTACAGTTATGGGACATATTTTTCAAGGGTTCATAATAGCCAGGGATGTAATCCTTCACACACACACACACACACAGGACAAGAACCACTTTAGATCTGTTCTGTGTACGAATTAAGTAGTGTGTAGGTCTCGTGCTGTGGTGAATTTCACTTTGAAAGTAATAAAGCCAATGTTCATCTGTTTTTCTTTTTAAATGCCTATATGAATTTGAGACAAGGATTTGTGTGTGTGGTATCTTTTATTGGCCTAACTGCATGGTTGGGATAGAGTTAGATGAGCTTTTGGGTAGCCAGGTTTCTTTCCCAGAGATCTGAGGAAGGATACCATGAACACATGAAAGCTTGACGAAGTCTATCCCCACCATGCAGTGAATCAGTAAAAAGTATCATTGAAAAGATACCACCCACAAAAATTATTTTCTTGCATATTTCATGGATTAGCACAATTACAACATCACTTCAATGCCACCATATATGAATTTCCCTTAGCTATGTATTCCCTGTCAATGACCATTCAAATGATATGCATTTAATGGCACAAAAGCTCCTGAAAAGTGAATTTCCAATGTGCATATGCAAGTTTCATAGAAGCCAAATTTTTAGTTTTAAATGTACATCCATACTAGGAATTCTGCCCACTCAAGTTACATGGCAGAATACCACTGGGTGCATGTAATCAGTCCCACTCTAGGTGTTTGGATTTTAAATATTCTCAAAATATTTGTGGCAACAAGTTCAAAAAAGGTATGTATCACTTACATATGAGCAAAATGGGGTTGGAATAAGGGTACGTACTACAAAGAAAACTCTTAAATGTAATGGCACAGTACTGTTGTTAAATATACAAATATGGAGGTGGGGGGAGACTTAGATTTTGTCTGGTTTCTCTTAATTCTAATAGTCATAGGGTTTGTTTGTAGTACTTTTTTAACCTAACTAATATTTTATTATTTCCTGGTGTAAACTGCTACAGCCTGAAGATCTATACTGCAACGCAAAGTTTGAGATTTATTCTACAGTTCCCTTGTGCTGTATGGCTGTGTGACCTACATAGAGAGAGCATTTTCTTTTTCTCGTGAATAAGCTCCTTGCTAAAGGAAAGCATGAACTGACTCAGTATGGCTCTAGGCAGGTAATAAGTTCTGTAAGAACTCAAAAAGGTAGTATCAGGTAACCCTGTTGCCCTGAGCAATGGCAGTGGTCTCATGGCATCCTTTCTGTTCAGTATGTAGCAGGGAGTTAGGGGGATCAGTGAGGGGTACATGTTGCAATGACTTTGGCATACAGATGCCTCTTAGGATTGTACTTCAGCCTCTTCCAACCCAGCTAGTTGACTCTGTAAGTCACTGATCAGGGAGATACATGGGAAAAGGTCAGGGCTTGAAAAATCCACTCACTCCTGTAAGTAGGAACCTTTCCCTGGTGAGTGACGTCAACCTTGGTAGAATCTGAACTTTTAATATTTTTTTGTTTCAAATTACACTGTGTATAACAAGAGCAGATCCTTAGCTCGTACAGCTCTGACCTGGTTCCATGGACTTCAGCAAAGCTCTGTCAGTTTATACCAGTAACATTCAGTGAGTAGCTCAGGAGTCAGCAGAACAAGCGGTGTTATCTAAAGAGCTACTAGAACCTAAAAAACCCTGTAGGGAGTTGTGGCAACTGCATTTCAACCCAAAAGAAAAAAAATAGACCACCTTGTTTTCTGTGTGTACCATGAGAGAATGCTTGTGTTGCATTATTCAGGATTGCAGGAAAAAAAATAACCAATGTATGTGTGGGGGGGACCTCACCCAAAGCCCTCACTGATAAAATTTTCTGCAAAGATCCATCGGTAATAAGTGGAGGCATCAGTTGCAGCTGTGGTCTAAGGATCAATGGGCCCATCTACATGTGCATTAACAGACGATAGTTAATGTGCACTAAATCTAGTACCTCCATTATTAGCTACTAGGAGAATGTACATTAATGCACATTAGCCTATGGTTTTTAAGTAATGCTTAATGCACATTAGCCTATTTTAATGCACGTTAACTAAATAGCATGGGCACCTACACATATATGGGGTGTCTACTCCCATGTGCTGGAAATCCAGCATATCAGAGCAGATTTGATTAATCAAGTCTTCTGGAACATGTAAACTGATATGCTCTGGGAGCCTCGCACATCATGTGTATCAGCGGTGCAGTGCACCTCCGCTCTGAAAATGATGGCGGTGTACTTTGAACTAAAACACGTTAAATGTGCTTTAGTTCAAATTGCACTGCTGTCATTTTCTTAGCATGGAGGTTCACTGCCCTGCTGATACATGTGCTCCCAATACAGCGCTGGGGTTTTCAATTTCTGTGGCTCACTAATTAAAAGCACCCAGCACTGCTTTGGGAGCATGTGTAAAAATGTCCATGTTTTTACTGATGCTTTAATGTGAATTAAAATAGGATAATGCACATTAAAGTGCATGTGACATACAACAGCTCATGCCTTTGTCTTTCTGGAAATAGAACTTTCTGATATTTCTGCTGCTTCTCAGAACTTCCATGAATTCAGCAAAGAGAAATGACCAGAAATATGGCATCCTGATTGTGGTTAGTCAGAAGTGCAGCAGAGCTGGCAAGAGTCTGGAAAATATCAGCTTGTTTTAAAATTCTTGACATTTATGATTTTTCAGTCTTTCAGTTAATGGAGTCTTCTTTTCTTACTGCTTGTGCTTATTTTTTAGTCATCGCAAATGATTTGCAATGCCGTAGTACAATTATTTATAATCATCTGTACATATTCTAGTGGCAAATAGACTTTTCTTTTACTTTTTTTTTTACTGCTGTCTTGGAAATTCATTTTTTCTTGAGTGCTTTTTGTCTTCTTTTTGCTGAACTGATGGTGGGTTTGTTTGCTTGTTTGTTCTTTCCCCTGTTTCTAATGCATACTTTTTCCTCTCCCTCCCTCTCACATTCCCTCTCTTTCAGCAAATCGTTCTTGCAATTTTGTTTCTTACTTACATTCTGGGTGCTTATACTTTTATTTATGGGTGATGTAGTAGAATTTTCTTCATGAAAGGTGAATTAAAATATATATTTGGAATATGGAAGAATTTTTCGATTTCATCATAGCAATGTTGACATAAAATCACATATTTTCGCCCAAACTCTTTAACACTACACATATGTGTATTTTTTATTTAGCATGGATTCATTGAATTATTTTATTTTTGGTAAGACATATTAACACATTTCTCAGTTTTTAATGCCACATTCAATCTAGCATAAAAAGATGATATAATTTGTCATTTAAATTTACATTTTTCATGAAGTAATGGCAGAATTGACTGGTTGGTCTGAAAGTAACCTTCATCTAGGCATCAAAACAGCAGATCTGTTAGGGTATGGACACATGTACATTTGGAACCATTTCAAAAGGGGAACATTTCAAAAAAGAAGAAAAATGGTTAGGTGTGGAAAAGCCAGGAATGATAAAATGTAGCAAAACTGCTACAAATGAAGACTCCAAATGAACAGCTCCAAATATACATGCATCAAAGAAAAGTAAAAGGAAGAATACCCTTATAAATACCCAGAATTAATCACTTTTACAAAGAGGAGTCACACTTACCTGTCAACAAAGGCATGATGAAGTATAAAGATGGGATCATTAGCAGATCCTTGCACTTGAGACATTGAGCCATTCATGTAGATGTGAAGCGCATTATGCAAGCTGCTTTGAGAGATATTTGATATTGCAGTCCGTGGATCAGCAAAACCTGTATGTGAATAGTAAATCATATAATGATATGAAGAGGTGCATAATCATTTTTCTACTACAACAGCAGATCAATATTTTATGCATATTCAACCCTAGTATAATGCTAACACTTGAAGAATGAGCATTAGTACATTCAAAAGGCATAGCAGAGAGGAAATGAGAAGAAACCATATTAAAACTGTAACACCACTAATGCAGCATGTCACTATATGTACTGCTTAATTGAATTAAAATTGTGATTCTTTGTCCAATGTTTTCTACCATTAAAAAAATCCTAAGATTCTAGTGTTATAAATCTTTATTCATGGTTACTTATTCATATAGTTTCAGGTCAGTAGGACATACATATGGCAAACCATTTGAACCCTAATATACAAAAAGGAGATGTCTAACAAATGAACACTAACTCTAACAAATCCCAGATAGCTAGTAAAGCACTGAAAATTTGAAGAAAATAAAGGTATTACCAAAGGTGTAAAAGAGTAATTCTGGGAATTAGTGTTTTTTTGGTCAAACCATAGGTGGTGGAAAGGTGGGGGGCGCTAATGGGGCTTAGTCCCCCCAAACATGGGACAGCAGTAGGGCTGTAAGGCAGCGGGCTTCCAGTGGCTGCAGCAGAGGTGGAGAGGGAGTGGGTTGCAGGCTGAAGCAGGCACTGCACAACCAGCAGGGTGCAGGACTGAGCCACAAGCAGCTCATCTGGGAGGGCTTGGCTTCTTCTAGCATAAGCATCCTGGGAGGCATGGGGAGCATATGCCTTGGATTTGCATGGTGCAGGGTGGGCTGCTGCTTGCTGTGGGCTGGGGCCGGGGTGGCACCAGGCTCTTTCTGACAGGGCAAAGCTGAGCTAGGCTGTGCTCAAGGCATGCAGCAGTGGTGCTGAGAGCAAGGATATGGGGGTGGGGAGAGCTGCAGCCACCCCAGAATTTGCCCTAGCCTCCGCTTCTAGTGCCACCACTGCCCACCCCAAGTGCAGCCCTAGCCCAGATCCTCCCTGCTGGGAAGAGCTGAACACCATCCAGCCCGCAGCTGCAGCCTGCCCTGCCCCATGCAGACTCAGAGGCACATGCCCCCCATTCCTCCTGGGGTGCACATAGCAGCAGGAGCCACACCCTCCAGATGAGCTGCTTGTGGCTCAGTCCCACAGACTACATGGGTGAGCAACAGCAGCAGGGCTCAAAGGCATGGCCATAACCCCACAAGCCCGCTCTAGCACACTGCCGCTACTTGCCCAAAACAGTTTGAGGCAGCTTTGCTGCTTTTGCCTCAGGGAGCCATGCCAGCCAATGTCTGGCAATGCCCCCACCCCTGCCACTGCAGCAGTAAGTCGGGAGTGCCAGGTGGACCCTGGCTCAGGTCTCTGCTGGTGGGACAGGGAGGGGGAAATTAAATCCCTCTCTAGCCAGTTCACTTGGGGCTACTGCTGGGGCTGGCCACGCTCCCACTGCTGGAGCAGCAAGCAGAGGAATACCTGGAAGGTCAGTGCTGATGGCACAGAGTGGGGTGGGGATAAATCTCTTACTTACCCCCTTAGGGGGACCGGCATCTGGCCATGCCCCCTTCCCTGACCACTCTGCTTGGGCTAGGGAGCAGAGGGGCGTGGCCAGATCTGCTCCACTGGAGCAGAGAGCACAGCCCTGCCCAGGGCTGCAGAGCATGCTGGGATGCTGGGGGGGAGGGTCTCTGGTTTAACTTAAACCAGGAAGGGGTCTGGGATAGAAGTTCCATAAACCGGTTTGATTTCAATCAGTTAAGTCTGATAATACATTCAAGCAGGGTTATTTCAAACCCGATTCAGCCACTTTGAAACTGGTTTATGTGCACTGAACTTCTGTTCTGTTACAGGTTTAAACCAGTTTCAGCTCACTTAAAAAACAGTTTATGTGTAACTTCTGTCCCTAGCCCAGAGTTTCAGGACCCTTCCTTTGTTGAGTTTCATTCTGTTTTCTTAGTGCCCAGCTGTCCAGTATATCAAGACCCTTTTGAATTCTAATCCTAGCCTGAAAATCCTTTCAGTTTTGTGTTAAAAGAAAAAAAAACAACTTCTTTTGAGTAGGATTGGATGAATTAGGACATGTTTTCCTCCTCATATCACCTCAATTCCAATTAAATACTAGTGTGAATAAATGTGTATTATTGCTTAACTGTTATTAGCAAAAGTTCCACTTAATTGGGACACATTTCAACCAGTATCAAGGAGTTAGGCAATGTTTACTCATGTGTTTAAAAGGTGTGAAACGCTATACTGTCTTTTCAATAGGAAAAACAGACAAAAAATTTAAAGGCAGTGAAGGTCTATTGTTATTGATTTATTTCCACTGTTGTTGTAGGGTAAATTGGTAATCTTGAATTACAGTAAATCTCAATTGTCTTTGGAAGCGAAAGCTTATTGATCATAAAGAGCTAGAAATAACCATTAAGAGACAGCTCTTGCACCACTGAGGTCAATGGGAGTTTTGCCATTGATTTTAATGGGAGCAATACCAAATGCTTCAGGGACCATGATTCTGACTCCATGGGCATGTCTACAAATGCATATTAATACAATGCAATAAACTCCAGTGCTTATTGCACTGGAGTTTATTGGTCTCAGATGCACATTTATACATACACCCATGATTGCAGCTTGTTGAGCCGAGTCAAAGAACCCCCAGCTGGTGGAGCATCTATCTGGAGGGTCACCTTGCCAGCCCAGAGCTGCTCCCCCCAGCTCTGTGTTGCAGAGGAGTTGGCTGGGGCATGAGGGTGCTTCAGCATGGGACTAACTGGCAGGCAGCCCTTGCATTGAAGTACCTTTGTGCCCCTGCCAGCTGGGGCAGTATCTACACATGAGCTTCTGTGAAGTTTTTTACTCTGCAGCAAGGTAGTTCTTGTATTTACAAGTACTATTGTACAGTGGAGTAAATTAGTCTACTCCAGCCTAACAGGGGCACACATGTAGATGCACAATGGTTACTGCTGGCATCTATATGAGATGCTGACTGTGCAGTAGCCTGTGATTACTGTGTAGTAGCATTGCATGGCAGGAAGCATGATGTAACACTAGTGTGCAGTAGTCATGAGCTACTGTATAGTCAGTGTCACAAAAAAGCTGTTCCTTTGTGTGACTGTTCAGTAACTTTGGTCACTGAGCTGTCATTTAGTACTTGTCACTGAGCTGTCATTTAGACTGCACAGTAATGACGTGGCCATTGTGCAGCTAGTCTACGGTAAACATCTCAGGTAGACACACTCATACCACTGTAAATCAAGGTCCATTTTCAGTGAGGTTGAATTAACTTAACTGGAGCCATGCCAGCATACACTAACTGAGGATCTAGCCCAAAATTCATGGTGGTTGGAGCTGATAGTGCCAGCTAAACTGGCCTGACACATTCTATTATCTTCTATATAATATTTTATCTTCAGAAAACATTCAGTTGCATGAGGCATGTGTCGTTTAGTAAGTGGTATTTAATTACATGAACTACAGGTTCCACAGTCTAGCAGAAGAGCTCACAAAGCTTCATGCAACCAGTCAAGCACAGAGCTTTAAAAATTAAGTGCAAGTCAAGTAGTGTTTTCCTTCACTGCTTTCCATTTGCCACTGAATTGATTGCACCAAGTGTATCTGCTAGATTTCAGGGAGAATTCAGAGTGTTGATAATATTATCAGCATTAATTACTGCAGTACTGGAGCAAATGCCCCATATATCTGGATTGTTTTGGTGAATTGTTTAACATCTGTGACATCCTGTCACTTCATGTCAGTAAGCTGTTTCACTGTTTTCTAATGTGGAACTGCAGTTATTAAATAAAATTAACCTCACACTTTTTTTCGAGTTGAGTGTTATGGATAAGTTAAATGCTGACACTTGAAAGATCAAATGACACGTTTTGTGCTGCATGCCTGTATCTCATTCACTACAATGGGAGCCGCATACGTACATGGGGTGATGATTTTGGAAGTGAGAAGAATTCCACACATTAGAGAATCCCACAACCAGATTTTCTTCTTTTTAAATGCATAGGAGTGTAGGTCTGGGTGGGGCCTCCTGAGCCATCAGAACCAGGATCCTGTATTCTCAAGCTATGATTTCTCCCAATAATCCACAGAATTGTCCAATCCGCCTCTTTTTTGCACACCAAAGTCAGAAAACACTGTATGAAGAGGCACCCCATTCCCTGCCCACAGAATATGCTAAAATAAATAGATGCACAGAATATGTTAGATTAATTTGTGATCAAATTGTCTGGGAAGAGGAAGACAGAGGAAGACAAAACAACCCATGGTCCATGCCAATCTACCTGAGGGAAAAAAATTGTCCTTCAATTCTGGCAGTCAGTTTGACCCTGAGTGAATAAGCAAGAACTTCCAGTCAGGTACCTGAAGGGGTCCTAACATGAATGCCTTGTGCCCCCAAAGGCTGGTGGGACACGACGAGCTCCTTCATGCAGTGGCAGCACTGTTGGCAGTGGGAGCATGGTAGCGGCAAGCGGGGAGTTCCCCCAGGTGGCCGCGGCGCTGTTGGTGGTGGGGGGTAGGGGTGGTGAGTGCCGACTGGTGGTCGGCAACCACCTGCAGATGTTGCTGGCAGTGTCGGCAGCAACCAATGGCGATTGCAGACCACCGTTTTCACGGGGTGCGCACCACCACGCTCGGGGGTGCACAGGTGGTGCACATGCACCTGTGTGCACCCCCTACACATCACCAATGGGTCCTAAATATGGATTAGGAGCAGCAGCATGTGCAAGCCACCTCTAACTGTAGCCAATGAGCATTGCTTCAGACGAATGTAAAACGAAGAAGAAAAGAACTTCCTGCAGATTCCTAGAAGAAGTCCAGAAGACAGGAATTATTGCACAAAATCATAGCAATATCCTTCAAGTCATATTTTCAGCTGGTTATCAAAGTCTATGACTCTATGTGAGTTTCAGTGCCAAATCCTACATCATTTAAAGCTAATACACTACTGCCGGAATGAGAAGCTGCAGCGACTACAGATATTTGGAACTATT